CCAGGGCACCTGGGTGGCTCAGTTAGTTAAGTGTCTGCCTTCGGTTCAGGTCACGATCCTGGAGTCGTGGGATCAAGCCCCATATCAGGTTCCCTGTTCTCCCTCTGTGTGCACTCTTTCTCTCAAATAAATAAATAAAATCTTAAAAAAAAAAAAAGGCGCCCAGATTCAGTACATACAAAGAATTTCTACAAATCAATAAGAAAGACAGCCAAGTAGTAAATTAATTAAGAAACTTGAACAGGAATTCCACAAAACAGGTGCTCAACTTCAGGGAAATATTAAAACCATAATGGATACTACCACACACATCTACCAGAATAACTTAACTTTAAAAGTCTGACAATGCCAAGTAACCAGGAGGCTATGGAACTCTTATACACTGATCATAGGAATTTAAACTGGTACCACCACTGTGGAAAGCAACTTAGTATGAGCTGATACAATTAAAGATATGCATATAAAATAACCCATAATTCCATCTTTTTTAGAATGCTCTTTATTTTCACAAAACAGGGCATGTGCAAGGCTTTTTCACAAGTGTTTGTAAACACTTGTTTAAACACTAAAACACATTCTCTTACTCTCCCGTTGCTCTTCTTTTCCTTTGTAGTTCTTTATAAAATATATGCTTTGAACCCTGGATACGCAGGAGAGAATGTTACAGCAACTCTGTTCCTACTTCTCCCCAATCAGAAACAAATTCCCATCAAAGGCAGAATGGATAAATAAACTGTGATACATTAATAAAATGGAGTGCTATACAGCAATGAAAATGAACAGAGGCCAACTACAATATCTAAGATCATGGTTGAATACTACAAACAATTCTGAACAAAATAAATCAAACACAAAACAATATGTAGTATATTATTTCATTTATATCAAGTGAAAATAATAAGCCAAACTGCATAATTAAGTGGTAAAACCATAAAGCAATGTAAATAAAAGCCAGCCCAGTGGTTACTACCAGAGGGAAACAAAGGAGTATGTAAGCAGGAAGAGGCACCTGGGGGCAAGAGCTTAGAGGAGGCAGGTAATGCTCTGTTCCATTTCCTAACCTAGGCAATAGTCAAAACGGTAGTTACAAAAAAATTGCAAATTATTTTGTAATAATTTGTTAAGCTTGTCATTTATGCTTGATACACTTTTCTGTACATTTGTTAGATTCTGTAATTTAAAAGTTGTTTTTTTAAGATGAATGAAGTAGAGGACTAAAGCAATACATGTAACATTTGGATATTACTTAGCACTGCATTTGAAAGGCAATAAAGATGAAGTAAAACCCTTTTCACTGATCTCTGCACCTGGTATTCTGTTGTTTTCTTCTCATCAGTATAAAATTCATAGAGGTATGGTCTTGCCCAGAGAAGACAGGTGTCTCCTAAATTTGGCAGGCCTGGATATCTCCGCCTGGATTATAACCTCTCAGAACAGACTATCTTTAAATCCACTGCTATATCCTCAGTCTCTGTTGTAGTGCCTGACAAACAGTAGGTGCTCAAAAAGTATCTGTTCAGTTGATTCATCAGTAAAACTAAGTTTTTCAAGAACCAAGTATTCCGAAAAGAGGTGAAAGAGTTCTGACTTCAACAAATCTCTAAACTGTAAGAATAGTCACTGAGGTGGTTACTTGATGAGACATTTGAGGTTACCAGTAAAACTTCAAAAACAGAAACAAAAACAAATGCACTGTATTAATGTATTTCCAACATATTAACATACGCTAACATATGGCCAGCAAACAAAAATTTTATTTCATCTCTATTCTAAGAATACAACTCATACAACTCAGTCCAACATTTTCAAATTTAATAATCTGAATTTTTATTGAATTTTAGAATTTATGGAGGAAATTCGTAGTTTTTGACTCAGGCTGTTTCAATCACATTCCTTGAACTGTAGCAATTTGGCTATTTCTCACACTTCCCACTCAACCTATTCTCACCAAGGTGATTCCTCCTAATTGGCTAAATCCAAGCACTACTTTTCGGTCCTCATCTTGCTTCATGCTCTAGAGTGGCCCTGTCCACTACAGTGGCCACTAGCCACATGGGGCTACTGAGCACTTCAAATGGACTGAGTACAATGAAGATAGTAAGTTTTTAATTTTTAAAAATTTTAATTAAATTTAAGTTTAAAAAGTGACACTTTGTTCAGTTATAAGTTTCTTTGTAACAATTTGGGTATGTGAGCCTACTTTTTCAACTGTAAATTTTATGAAATTGAAATACAGAGCAAGAACTTCCAGTGAAAATTTAGCATCTGAATTAAGATGTAACATGTAGATGCAAAGTGTAAATGTAACATACATACTGGATTTCAATTAGTATGAAAAGAGATTATAAAGTAATCTCATTAATAATTTTTATATTGATTATATGTTGAAATGACAGTATTTTGGATATACTGGGTTGCATAAAATATTATTAAAATTAATTTCACTTATTCCTTTTTGTCTCTTAAAGCAGCTACTGGAAAATTTAAATTACCTATCTAATATGTATTTTATTTGTGTTGGACAGTTCTGCACTATAGCATTAGATATGAATGACCACTCATTCCTTCTTGAAATGCTGCTGGTTTTCTCCTTCTACACCTTTGACTCTCTGTTTCTGACCCGCAGTGTAGCTTATTCCTGCACTCACTCCTTAAATGCTAGTGTCTCCCAAGGTTGTCCCGAGGCTCTTTTCCCTCCCCATGCCAGGTGCCTTCCCTGGGCAATCTCACCCTCACCCAAATCTCCACTGTTCCCAAGTGCTGAGGCCTGTCAGCCCTCCTATGTGTAAATCAGCTCACTTTCCTAAAAACAGTATGCTCAACTCCACCTACACCTAAGTACATCGGCACTTAACCTGCTATTACATCTTTTGAATATTTACCTTATTCATATCATAAGTCTGGCCCCTCTTCTCCATTTCATTCAGGGCTGCATGATTTCTCACCTTCATCACTACAATAGCTTCCAAAGTGCTATCCCTGCTCCCTTCCAAATCAGCTTCCTTTTGCTGTTAAGTTTCTAAAATTCACACCTGGCCAAATGACTTCTCTGTTTAAAATACTTTGGTTTCCCCACTGCCTTCAAAATAAAATAAAAACTTCTTTATTTTTTTTAAGATTTTATTTGTCAGAGAGAGAGAGAGCACAAACAGGGGGAGCAGCAGGCAGAGGGAGAAGCAGGCTTCCCGCTGAGCAAGGAGCCCAACGCGGGACTTGACCCCAGGACCCCAGGATCATGACCTGAGCCAAAGGCAGACTCCTAACCGACTGAGCCACCCAGGCATCCCAAAAACTTCTTAAAATTATACATTAGGCTTCATGCTTCATCACCAGCCGTCCAAAATCCCAAGCTCAAGCATTATCTTAAGTACCTGCAGTTCCCTGAAAAGGGCACTGGCTCTCTCCCATCATCTTTGCACAAGCTCTTTTTGCTGACAGGAATATCCTTCCTAAAGCTCTATCCCTGCTCTCCTAGTCACCCTTCAAAACTCAGCTGGTATATCATCTCCTGCAGGACACATCTACAAACCCCCAAGTCGGAGCAAGTATCCCCTGTATCACCATCACACCTGTACACAGCTCTAGTTACCAATCTATGAACTCCCTGAGGGCAGGAGTTAAGATTTTAAGTTAACCTTCCTGTGCCATACTTTATGTGTATCTAATGATAAATGAATGCAGTATTAAATAAGGGAAATCCACAGAATAAAATGCAAGGCGAGAAATTTTAAAATAGGCTAATAAAGTCATGAGTTTAAATGAAGAAAGTTGACCCAATGACCCTAAAAACACTTTATTACATGGCTTATTTCAGGACTTAATGAACTAGCTTATACAAAAATATATCCTAAGTAATCATTAAAACATCAAACACTCAACAAAAGCAACAATTTAAAAAATTAAAGACTATATATGTTATTCTATTTCTATAACTTTGTTTTTCATACCTTTTCTTCCCTAATTCTACTTATCAGTTCCTTTCTTTAGCTCTTTACAGTAATTTACCTTCCAGTAAAGTTTGCACCCTTTCCTTCCCCCACCCAATTCTTTTCATTTCTACTGTCCCTTCAATTCTTCTTTTAAATCTAACAGAAAAATACAAACACTGTCTTTGTCAGCTCTGTCAGCAATTTTGTATAAACAAAGGAATGGTAAAAAGCAGTGAATGGAATGATATCACCAGTTAGACTGATAGACAAAACTGTATGCATTAATCTGGGTGGGTGATTTCATAATACTAAGCAGCTAATCTGAACCATATGCATACTAAGTGGAGTCTGACTGGCATCAGGGAGTCCTTGGGGTTATTACAGCAGGACAATGGGGGGTATGAGAAAAGAACAGGCAACTTGCTGGTGGTGAGGACAGCCACAGCCCAGCCTTACAACATTCGCCAACTTGTGCCTGTCCTTCCTGTGGGGGGAATGCAGGACGCTATCAGCTATGCGGCCTAGCACAGTCAAGGAACCGATTTGATGGTGAGCAGCAAGCAGCAGCCAACAAGCACCGGGTGCTAGTCTGAGCACCCCGGCCTGGATACCAACAACTTCAGGATATAAAATAAAGACAGCAGCTCCCAGGGCACTTCTAAATTTTCATTTTACTACAGATTAGGTCCTGAGAGAGGCAAAGAAATACTTAGATGGAAATTATGTAAGTATTTAAACTAGGCTGATGAGGAGAAACAATTTTTTGAAGGATCGTAATCGCTAGAAGGAAAGAGAGAACATTCTTTTCATTACCTGAAAGTAACTTTTCAAAATCACAAAACGTTAGGTCTTCCAGGCATGAAAAAGTTCACCCTAAAGACTGCTATCTTCTGGAATTCACAATCAAGCAAAAATGAAATCTCTTGAATAACTTTACACCCAGCAAGATAATGGAACAGTAAAGACTGTATTTGAAAAAGTTTCTAAAACATCATAGAACTGGACTATCCAAGGAGCACCTTTAAAAAATCAATTCAATGCAAAGCAGTGCAGGGCAAGATTTACTCTTACCCGTGTCCAGGAGTTAAGTTTCGATTCTTCAGAATTCTGTGGTTCTTTATTAATCAAACAACATAAGCACCATATTAGAATTTTTTGGCTTTCATCTGCAAAAAGGAAAACTAAAATAAGTAGGTTTTTTCAAATAGAAAAGATAATCAGTATACAAATTTTTTAAACACTGTATTTAAAGGGAATATATGTATTATATTTTAGGAAAATCTCAAACTATTAAATTCACAGAACAAGCATCCAGGACCATGTGTGAAACTTCGTGGGGTTTTTTATTCTTGTGGTTTCGGGATCACTTATGCTTAGCCCTTGTTTGGTCAATTACCTTTCTGATACAGCAACAATTTTTAAAGCCAAAAGAGAATGATAGAAATAACTAAAAGAACCGCACTTTTCTCAAGATCAGTTCTCTTAAAGTATATTTCAAACTGTTAGTAATTTCAACCTTTTAAAAGCAATATAACTGTTATAGGCAGTAGTCAATATTTGTCTTAATCTTTTAATTTTCTAGTTTCCCAAAACACCCTCACTTGTTAAAAACAAAATTAACAAAAGAATCGTTTTAAAATATATTCTGTTTAGTACTAAATGGTTTGGATAAAATAGAAGCCTCTTACATGTTCCTCATACTTTACTCTAAAATTTAAAACTTTACCAAATATGTGATGAAAACGCTGAACTTTGAAATCTTATACTTGGCAAGAGTATCTACTCGGTGAGCCATTTTCTTTTTCCTCGTTTGGTAACTGAGTCCATTCCAGTTGGAGATTTTACAACACAACTGAGAAGCAAGAAGGATGCCTAAAACTGAAGATGTCAGTACCTACACGAGAGCCAAGCAACCGTGGCCTTCATCCGAAGACCATGGAGTGGCAGCTGAGGAAGCCCACCACCTGGAATCAATCCTCTGCAGAATCACCTGATGCCCTTTACCCTCTCATCTTCTACGGTCTCATAAACACAGCATTTCTAAGAGCTACGGTAACAAGAAATAAGAAAAATATAAACTGCAGTAAGCTACCCCTGCATTTTCAACCATACACCAAAAAACACTAATAGTAATTGTTTATTAAACCCTTTTTTCCCCATAAACATCATAAGTTTATACTCCCCTAATAACACCTCTGAACAAACTTTATCTGGGATTATTTTGAGGGACACTGATTTTTTTCCTACTTTTTATGAGCTCAAATGAATCACTGGCTTGCCTATTATAGGTTAATTTCATGAATCATGTCATTTAACCTCCGAAGATCCTAGGATTCTTCAGGTTTAACCAATGCCACTGATTAAAAATTTGACTGTTGTACTTCCTATGCTTTAAATATTAGAAGAAATTCTAACTATCTTCATGTCACAGAGTGTCAGACACATCCAATGATATGCTTACTACACAAGCAGCTTCCCCTGTTAGAAAACTTAAGTCATCTAAAAGATGGAAATTTTCCCCAGGTGTTGAGTGAATATGCACATTTAGTTCAACAAGTATATATTTTTCAAATTTTTCTCTCAAAACAAAACAAAAACAAAAACAAAAACAAAGAGAGAGCAGCCAGAGAAATGTTCACCCAACCTTTAGGAGGTGCCTTCCTTTGCCCAGAGTCAATGTACTGAAATGCACTGAAATGTACTGTTAATGAACTTATTTTGCTTTAGGGATTTACAGATGCAAGCCATCACTTGTTATTCATGAATGTGCCAGCAACACTTACTGCAGGGGAGAAGGCTTCTGTCAGGCTCCTCCCTGAGACCCCTAGATTCAGAGTGGACATCCTGCAGGGCAGTTAAGTGAGATGGGAAAACACCTGGGGTTCATCATGCAAGCAGTCACTGCCAGCAGATCTTCGTGAAAATTTGGATTCTAAAAATGAGTGGAAGGGAAAAGAATATACCAGCATATATTTGCCACCTAATATTTTTTTCGGTATCCTGAACTAAAGTTCCAAACGAAAGCTAAATTAATTCTTTAAAATTCGGGTCGCCTGGGTGGCTCAGTTGGTTAAGCGACTGCCCCGTTCAGGTCATGATCCTGGAGTCCTGGGATCGAGTCCCGCATCGGGCTCCCTGCTCAGCAGGGAGTCTGCTTCTCCCTCTGACCCTCCTCTCTCTCATGCTGCCTCTCATTCTCTCTCTCAAATAAATAAAATCTTCAAAAAAAAAATTTTTTTTTAAATTCCTTCATCTATAATTTAAAAGTGTGAAAGCAGCATTTTTTAAGACAATAAATATTTATTATTTTAAGCTGCCAAGTTTGGGGGCAAATTTTTATATAGCAATAAATAGCAAATGGTGAGGTTATAGCTGTTATGCTTAACCATGAGAGCATAGCTCAAAACAACCAGTCAGAATTCCAAGAAGGTGAAAGCGATAAGTTTATGTAGAGAACACCCCTGAATAAAAGATGTTCCCTCCCTTTCCATTATCTGTTTTTTCTCTCCTCTTCATGGTGCCTTTTCCTTTCTGAATCTTTCCTCCTTCTTTATTATCCTTATTTCTGATCCAATTCTCACTTAACATTATGAGAGACTTAACTTCTTTCTTTGATGGAAACCGTCACCTTTCCTGTATTTAAAAAGTTATTTTGCTATTATAAAACCATAAGAAAAGACCCTTTCCTGGACAAAAGTACCCAACTAGCAAAACAACAGTAGCAACGCAGGCAAGACTTGATTCATCACGGAGTTCTGTTGCCTGTCAGTCTCCACTAAGCTCAGAACCCAAGGCACACCTCAAACAGGAAGCTGAAATTTAACAGGCAGTTCGAAACATAACAGAGGCACTGAAACAAAAAGAGATGAAGAATTTGTTTCTGGTTGTCAGAGGGGGCCAATGTAATGGGGATAGGATCTTAAGGAAAGATCACAGACAGATACAAGTTTAAGGCCCTAAGGATAAATCAGTCCAGCCCTTTTACAAATAAGGGATCTGAAACCACGCAAGTCTGGTGACTTGTCTCAGAAAGTATTGAATCATCTACTGTTCCCTAAGAGTCGGCCCCAGCTCGACCTCCCCTGAAAGCTCCCTGTTCAGAGCTCCATAAACACAAACCATTTCTGAGTCAGGCTGATCTGCTGAGGTCTCTTTTCTCTGTGACTGGATGCTTCCAGTGAGAGAAATTGTAGCCATGTTTTCCGAGGCCTCACATATTAAAAAAAAAAAAAAAAAAAAAGCTTTCTGAGTCAGGCTGATCTGCTGAGGTCTCTTTTCTCTGTGACTGGATGCTTCCAGTGAGAGAAATTGTAGCCATGTTTTCCGAGGCCTCACATATTAAAAAAAAAAAAAAAAAAAAGCTTAGTAAATATCTGTCTGGTAAATATATACATTCACGTGAGGCTGGCTGGTGTTAAAGCCAGAACTGGACCACTTCAACCACAACGGTATGATACACAGGACAGATCATTACAACAAGGCAGGCTTTAGAGGGGTGGGATCCTGGCTTTTATCAGTTTTACATTATGGGGAAAGTGATTTCCTTGCTCTAATCCACAATTACCTATCCTGCAAAACTATCATCAAGTAAATATTATACTAGCTAAAAATACAGCCAAGTCAAGGCAATAAACCTCAACGGTACACCTTCCAATGTGTCTGCTTCCCCTACGCTTGGCCCTAGGATAACAAAAAGAACTAAAACCACAGTTCCTGCTCTTGAGAGGCATTCAGTCCTCCAGGACATCAGACAGGTAAACTAACAATTACAAAACAGTGCAGTAAGTGCTATAATTAAAGGAGATGCGATCAGCTATGGAGACACTAAGAGAAGTTCCTAACTCAGCCCCAGCAAAACTATTTCAAAGGAAGTTTAAGAGGACAGGAGATGAAAACAGAGCTCCAGGCAAGGAATCACATGTCACAGGTCCTGACATCATGTACATTCAAGTCACTGTAACTCGACCTGGCTATCATGCGTGTGGTGTGCCCGTGGAGAATTACACAGGAAATGAGGCTAGACAGGTAGGCAGGAGGTCAAGAAAGGAACATCTACCCCCAAAGTATACCCAAATTCCTCTTCACCTTGGGTAAAACCATAATGTCACCCTTAAATAATGTCAGGGCCATGGGAGAATTCAGACACTGAAGAATGATTTTACGCATGGAAAATGTGAGTTAACATGAAATTGTGAAACAAGAAATTATTTCATTATTATAACCATTTCACGCTTAATTAAAAATGAGGTTATGATAATCATCTGGAAGAGTCTACTCTATAATACAAGTTCTGTTTTCTTACAGATCTGCATGTGTATAGGTGTGTGTATGTACGTGTATGTGAGATTATCTATATGAACATATGTGGACAAGAAAAGGATGCCATCTTTCTAATGGAACAATGAATAAATCTTAATAGTTGTTTTGTAAACAATGGGACAAAATTTATAATCTGAAGCTCTGTATTTTGTTAAACAACGCAAAGATTAAAATTATCATTAGAAGTTTGTATTTTGAGAAGACAGGTTTTGGATTCTTACCAAATGCTAAAATAAAAGGATTCCAGCAAGTTTTTGCCAACAGTTGACCAATTGTGGGGAATCTTTCAATGATCGTATTTGAATCCTGTAAAAGAAAATTATGTTTTGGTCAATAAAAGTACACCACACAACTTAGAAAGTTGAACTGACACTACAGGTTGAAGGAATCTGAATATTTAGTATTTCAGAAAAGTAGGAATTTCAAATAAAATTTAACAAGCAACGACCTAACTTCATCCTTAAACCACACCACCAAAACTAAGATGTACAGCACATTTACATAAAATCAATCTTGTTACAAAATTATCTTTATTTTACTCATACTTAGGAAAGGCCAATTTGTTTAAAAATATCAAAGAATGTATAACAGTGAACAAAATATTGTGGGTGATTAATAACTATATAATCCTATATCTTCATCCTGGTTTTTTTACTCTACCATAAGAGGGGTTCCTAATTCAACTTTACTAGGGCTATTTCAAAGAAGGTTTGGGAGGACAAGAACTCTGGAACTTGTAAAAAGAAACAAAAGCAGCCAAAGCAAAAAGATACATATCTCTGTTTATTACTATTTCAGTTACTATATGCTAAATGACATCATACTTACTCTACAACAACCTGAGACAAAAAAAAAAATCAACCAAATAGAAAACAGCTTAAGATTAAACAATCTACATGCTATTGTACAACTGGCCCTCTTCCCACTTCTTTACCTTTCAAGAAAGTTCAAAAATAAGACCTAAATGAGGTAGTATGTATATAAGCTGAAATATAAGTTGCTGCAGCAATAAATTCTTCATATTCGTCTTAGCATCAAGGCCAGTCCTAGACTTTCTGGGACCAATTTAAAGCCAAGTTGCAGAAGTCCTATTACAGAAAAACAATTTTAAAAGGTAGCATCAGTTGCTCATACAGACTCTGTCTTTCCTTCTAGTTGCTAAAAACACATGAACTCATATTGTCAACACAAATAATTCTTTAAATTTCTGACTTGCTTCTTTGATTAAGGGAAGAAAAATGTAACACAAAAACACCTATATTAAATGAAAATTTCACTTTTCATTTTGAATTAGAAAGTAATTATAAAACAAATATTTTCATAATATGAAAGCATGTTAACTCATAAAAATATCCATTGCAATAAAAATGAGAAACGTCAAAATGAAAAAAATATCAAATTTTAGACACATTATACAACAATAGTGAAGACACTCAAAATCTTAATATTCACCAGAAAAGACACTTAAAATATTCAAAAGAAGAGATCTTATTTATCATTTCTTGGTAGAACCTGCTTTAGGACAGCATTAAAGAAAGGGTAAGCACTGGGGTGCCTAGGTGGCTCAGCTGGTTAAGCGTCCTACTCCTGATTTCAGTGCAGGTCATGATCTCAGAGTTATGAGGTCAAGTCCAGTGTTGGACTCCACCCTGGGCATGGAGCCTGCTTAAGATTCTCTCTCCTACTCTCCCTTTGCCCCTCCCCCTAACTTTTCTCCCTCTATTAAAAAGAAAGAAAGAAAGAAAGAAAGAAAGAAAGAAAGAAAGAAAGAAAGAAAGAAAGAGAAAGAAAGAAAGAAAGAAAGAAAGAAAGAAAGAAAGAAAGAAAGAAAAAGAAAGAAAGAAAAAGAAAGGAAAGGAAAGGAAAAGAAAGAAAGAAAGAAAAGAAAAGAAAGAGTAAGCACTTTGGAAAACTCTTCAATATTTAAGAGATGAAAAGGCCTTTAAAAGAATCTCAATTATTACTAACAAGTATCAAAGTCTTATTTTTTTGTTGTTGTTTTTTTAAGATTTTATTTATTTATTTGACAGAGAGAGACACAGTGAGAGAGGGAACACAAGCAGGGGGGAGTGGGAGAGGGAGAAGCAGGCTTCCTGCTGAGCAGGGAGCCTGATCCCAGGACCCTCGGATCATAACCTGAGCCGAACCACCCAGGTGCCCAAAAGTCTTGTTTTTTTGTTTTTTTTTTAAAACAACTTTATTGGTCAGGAAGTCTCATATGACAATGTAACTATTCAAGAAGACTGAATTCATAAGAAATCAAAGGTGAGGAAACTGCCCCGTCTGTATTACCTACGGGTAATTTGTCTTTCTAATCCATCAAGACATCAGGTCAAATACCACAAGTCCCTGACCCTAGATAACGTTCAGGCTTGGTTAAATGTAGTAGAGATTCATTATTTTGGTCCACCACTTACCATCTCTTTCAAGACTTCATACATCTGTCTCAGGAACTCCTGAAATCGAGGCAGGTGAAGGCAGGTATCTTGCTGGGTTTCCAAAGTGGAGGCCTGGTCCCACACAGAAAGCTTCTGCATCCAAAACTGATAATCAGAAGAAAAGCCTACTGAATCTTGAGCCATCTTGGAAAAAGGGCCCGCCAAGCACTGAAGGAAACAGTGAGCACACATCAAATCTAGAAAAAAGGGGGAAAATGAAACATTTTTAAAAGAATTTTTATTGGTGACTTCATATTCCACTGATGAGTGAAAGGGGGAGTATAAGGGACTAAAACAGAATGCCTTCTATGGAGTCATCTTTGAATTATTTTAAAATGTGTCACCCAGCTATAGATCCAATATTCACCATCTGAACTTTTTATCATGAGTAATATTCCACTAGAAGTCATTATACCTTCACAGACACATGCTAATTATGCACAAAAAGCACAAAGCTGATAATACTTTATATCTTCTTTTTAAGATTGCGCTATTTTTAAATGTTCTGAAGTTCATTTGGGTATTTTAATGTAATGGGAAATCAAAAACATCCATGGGTGTTTAATAATAGTCTGTGTCTAAAAAATGTTTTTGAAGTTTTCATGCATTTCTGGCTTCTCATTTAAGTATTAAAGAAAATCTCTATGCACTACTGTCTACTGAAATTTCTTCCCAGTTTCTCTTCACTTTTCGGAAAAAGTAAAATCATTCATTCCACATGCATCGATTTGAGCAACTGATTTAATTAAAGACTAGTATATATGCTTGATCTCAGTTCATTCACAAGAAGAAATCATATTTTAGTAAAATATGAAAAACTGTAATTATTGAGGAGGTGTACTAGTCCTAACGGACAGAACATAACCCATAAATTTGACTTACCACACATGAAGTACATATTAGAAATAACCGTGGAGAGGCGCAGTGAGCGTGGGCCTCAGGCAGAGCTGGCTAAATAAACCCCAGGTGCCCCCCCCACCCCAGCTCCTCGCCATCGGCACCCATAGAAGCACACCATGCAGAGGAGGAAGAGCTACTTCTTAACCATGCAGGCTTTTATAAGGTCTCCGACTTTCTTGGGGCAGGGATGATACTCAGCTATCTGATTTCAAAAGACAGCTCTGCAAACGGTGAGTGAGTTTAAACTTTCAGCAGCAATAATTAACAGATAAAATGGTCCCAATTCGGTGCCAAAAATATCAACATAGGGGTTTCATTACTAAAGAAGAAAATAAAAATATTTAAGGAGATCATACAATTTGGTTGCAGTACGAAAAACTCTAGACCAGGAAGGTGGAAATTTTTAAATGGTCCTAAAAACTTGGTCTTAAGAAGGACCATGAGGGAAAAAAAGGTTTAATCATAGAAAAAATATATGCATCTTGTCAAATGGCACCTAATAGCCAAAAATTTATTCCTTCTCCCTGATTCCTCCCTTTCTCTCATTGTCCTCCTCATCCAAGCCATCACCAACACCTGTCAATTCTACTCCCAAAATAAAAATGCATGATTTCATTCAACTTATCCACTTCTTTCCAATTCCACTGCTGCATTCCATCCCATCCCCATCCATTTCTTCCCTAGAGTCTTCTACCTGGTCCCACCCACCCCTCTCCAATTCTTCCTCTACAGTCCACAAAACAACTTTCCCAAATGAGAATCACACCCACCACACTCCGGCTTAAAACCTCCCCCCAACTTCAAAAGCTTCTACAGACTCCCTGTAGAAAAGATCCTAGCTCCTCCTCCTGGAGTCTCTGAAGTCCTGTAAAAACTTAGCTCTGGCACCTGCTCTCATTTCCTACGCTGTGCACCTGTCCGGTCCAGGCCTCTCATCTGTTCACCATCAACACATGGAAGACTTCCCTGCTTCACTGCTTTCTGCTCATTCCTCCAAAGCTCCTATTCCATCAGTAATTATTTGCTCACTTAGTTACTGCTTCTTCTACTGGTATATAATTCCCTGTCTCCTAGAATTTAACAAATGCTTGGCAAACAATAAATATTGGATAAAGGAATGAATAATTCACTGAAATTTTTCAAAGTATAGTTCTGAACTAAACGCCATAACAAAATGCTTTTCCAGATATAGCAATTTAATTTTTAAAAGATAACTTCCCCAGAAAAAAATTTTTAAGGTGTATCTATGTGAAATTTAATTAATATCCCATTTAGAAATATAGTAATAGCTTATACCTACATACACTTACTATGCTCTTGAAAATATTTTAAATGATTTATGCACACTAGCTAATTTAATCCTCTAAGCAACCCTATGAAATGGGTATTATCATTATCTTCATTTTACAGATGCACAGAGAGATTATGTAATTGCCCAAAGTAAGATTATGTAAAAGCCCAAAGGAAGTAACTGCTAGTAAATAGCAGATCTACAGGTTGTGGGATTTGATTCAAAGAGTCTAGCTCTAAAGTCTGTGCCCTAAACAAAGAAATAAACTGAAGAAACAAATTAATGAATTTCATACATAGTTCATACGGTTCTAGATGAGGCCTGTTTAGATATTCGGAGACACTAAACTGAAGACCTTTTTGGTAGAAGAGACAGAAAACATTATTTTATTATAGCCAAATTACAAACAACCTTTTGTTTAGCAATAGGAATACATCTGATTGTTTTAAGTGGAAATAGCTTTAGGGATCATGTAGCCATGGTTCTGAGGGGCTGTTCACAGCCAGTCTAGAGGGAGATGGTAATGGCTGGGAAACAAGGAGACCTGATTGTGATGCTTAGCAGTGGGAGTGCTGCTGGTATTTAGTGCCCAGGAGCCAGGGATGTTGAATATACTGCAATACACTGGGGCAGTCACACGAAGAAAAATGGTCTTATCCCAAAGGCCGATGACACCTCTACTGAGAAATGATGACCTAATCTGAACACCCTGGAATGGGCATCTGTTGACTGTGCTTGTTGAGCATTCCTCCTCCCTTCTTATGGTTACAACACCTCACTGTCCCTTGAGGAAAGAACCTCTCCTCCATTCCACAAGTCTTGGTGAGCCTATTAATCAAGGCACCTTGCGGCATCAGCCAAGAGGTGAGATGATGACTCAGGTTAGGCAAACCAGACCCTGTGCTGGGACTCTGAATCTTGAATAGACTGACATAAGGATGGAACTAAGTCATTCCAAAGACTTTCTCAGTCTAGTTCCCTTAGGCCACCCTACATCATGTCCTTAACAAGGTATAGCTTTCCAGGTCGCTATTTTTTCTAAAAGATTTTATTTTGGGGGTGGCTGGGTGGCTCAGTCAGTTAAGCATCTACCATCGGCTCAGGTCGTGATCCCAGGGTCCTGGGATTGAGTCCCACATTGGGCTGCTTGCTCAGCAGAGAGCCTGCTTCTCCCTCTGCCTACCGCTCCCCCTGCTTGTGCTCTCTCTCTCTCTCTCGCTGTGTCTCTCTGTCAAATGGATGAATAAAATCTTAAAAAAAAAAAAAGATTTTATTTTTAAGTAATCTCTATACCCATCGTGGGGCTTGAACTCACAACCCTGAGCTGAAGTCAGGAGTTGCACGTTCCACCCACTGAGCCAGCCAGGCACCCCTCGGCTCTCTCTTTAATTCTGCCCACTACCCAGGGGCTTTCTGCAAAATCCTTTTTTTCCCCCCCTTAAATTAACCACTGTTGATTTCTGTGGTTTCAGAAAAAAAAAAGCAACTACAAACTGATAGTTCATATATACTGATATAACATCTAATACAAACCAGATAGTGGGCTGCAGGCAACAAACCTTTGAAGAAAAAAGAGGAATTCAGAACTGGTTACTGGGCCAAATCACAGAAAACGGCAGGGAAACTTGTTTGTATTAGTGTATCGGAAACCAGAAGTCCATGGAACAAGAAGGTAATACAGGTCAATGAGGTATTGCCTATGATCAGGGACCCTACCTCATTATACTCTTCTAATAGGAATGGCCAAGTGAAAGACTGGATTATCAAAAAATGATGTCTGGTGATCTGCAAAAAAAAAAAAAAAAAAAAAAAAAAAACCCACCTCTCCAACCAGGAGGCCAGTTGGTTTTAGTCAATGATATTGGGCTATCATAAACATTATCAAATGGTGACTCCAACTTAAGCTGTACTTTCAGATGTTTAACTGGAGAAAACTAGCACCACCCCCAGGCACCTAGATTGCAGTTATGAAGCTGGTAATAAATGCATTTCTCCATTGGGATAACCTGAGGACATGAGAAAGCAGTTCACTTTCACCTCCCTTAAAGCAGTTTTCACCTCCTATCAACTCAGAACACTGTGTATTACACTAGTCTACCATATTGAAGTTATCAGGCTGACAGAACCTAGAGACTAAGAAGACACAGGTGCTTTGCATGTATTCCAGATGGTGGGATATAAATCCCATGAACATACAGGGCCTGCCACTTCAGGCCATTTCTTGTGATCCAATGGTCCATACAAGACAGAACATGCCCTTTAAAATAAGGATAAACAACAAACTACTACCAGTGGTTGCCTCCAATGTGGAGACCTGGATAGCTGGATGATAAGTGCAGAAAACAAACTGGGTTTTACTGTCTGCCTTTTTGCACCTTTTCAAAACATTTGGCTGACATCTCTCATGACTCATGAACATAAACTTGCATGGGTTTTAGACCATTTATCTGCTTCTACCTATTTTTTGGCAATGAGAAATATGGGTAGGGCAAGAATCACTGCACAGTTGGTTCATGCTAAATCACTCTGCCACTTGGCACATATGATCCGGCAGATCCAATGGTGTTTAAAGTGTGTGTGGAAGATCTGGATTGTGGGCAGAGCCTATAGCAGTCCTCAGTGACTAGACTGATCGTCCAAGCCACAAAGCCGGGTGTGCCCAGCAGTACTCTATCATCATGTGCAAATTATGGCTACTCGAGCAAAATGCATGAGTGAGGTTTTTGGATGCTGTGTATGTCTTCCCTGCTGTGTCATATAATTTTTTTTGAATTCCCTTCCTTTTCATTTTTCCCTCTCCTACTACTGCATATATAGAGTATATTATTAGTAGATAAATTTTCTAAAGTCTATAATTTACCAACTATCACAGAAATGGGAAGAGGAACTGACATTATCCAGAAATTCTGGACCTGAAGCCAGAGCATTAACCAGGCATTACTTCAGATTATCTCCTAT